CGAGGAGGATTTCAGAGCCGCGCTGCGGGAGGTGAGCGCGGCTTCGCCGGCAGATCCTGTCAGAGCGAGGCCGAGGGGCTTCGCGTCCCTGGGGGGTTTCTCGCAGGGAGTCCCCGCCTCAGGGGGGCCTGTCCCGCGGCGGGGCGGCGACCCGGCACCCCGACTCTCCTCAGGGGACTCCCCCTTCCCCTGTGGCATTTTGTGGCATTTCCACACCCACGGGTGGCCCGGGGGCCGGCGGTCGACTCGAGCGCTGGAAGGGAGCTGAGCCTTGCTGAAGGCACAAGCCCTGGCCCTGACAGCCCTGGGACACAGCTGCCCGGCGCCTTGTCCTGATCAAACCTGATGCTGGGCAGAGACTGAAGGGAAAAATTATCCGCTGGCGCCTTGATCCGGGGCTGGATGCTGTCAGTGGCGTGTGTGTACTGGCAACACCCTGGAAGTAAATTCAACACGTTATGAAAATGGCCTTCTGTGCTGCTCCCTAGCTGGTTTTTGTTAGCTGGCTCCCAAGCGCCCTTCTAGTTTGTTGTTCGTCGCATGGGATTGCCCAGACTTCACAGGTTCTTTTAGGGATCGTTGGCAGGATGGTGACAGCACTAAGTCGTAGTTACAATTAAAGCTTCATTTCTAAACAGGATATTATGATTAATATAGCACAGAATTTATGGCTAGATCGGCACAGGATTTCTACAAGCAGAATCAATGTCACGCAATAAGCAGCATAATACAGAATTTATAATACAACTTAATTTAGGATTTCTAGATCCTAACTTAACTTTCCAATCACCTGGACCCTCTGCAGATCAGGTCAGACCTTAATACATGGTTTGCTGCATCAATATAACCATCATAATATAGACTCAAACATCATATAAAAGAGTATGAATTACTCACTCAGCCCTCAGAGAAAGCAGATGATGGTGGAGGTGTCCCTGGCCATGGAGGAGTCACAGCTCTCAGTGTCCAGCAGCATTTCCAGCCCAAGTTCCCCGTTAAGGACTTGTAACTCCTTGATTTTATAGACAGTGCTCTGGGTGCTGTTTTGCTTCCCTGTCCTGTGACAGGGTCATCAACGCCACCTCCTTGGCTGGGTGCCTGGGACCTTCAAGGCCGGCAAGGAAGGGAGTAATCAGTCTGGCGCCCAGGAACCTTGAGGCTGGTAGAGAAGGGAAGAAAAAATCTGTTTGGTTTGTCTACTTGGTTCGTAGGACCTTCAAGGCCTGATAATGAGGGAAAAGGAATGAATACGTGACCCGCTTGGTCACAGAGAATGGCTACTTGCCTTATAAAATGGAGTTAGTTATGCTACCCACATTACCAGGGGTCAGGAGCAGGGGGTACCGATCACACCGTCCTTCCTTTTTTGCTGAGGAATGTTATAAACTAATCTCATGGGTGTTTATTAAATAGGAAGAGCTGCTGAATCGGCTGCTACTACAGCTGTTTCCTCTGAAGTGACAGATGAGCCTGTCCCCACAACACTTAGCAGTAATCCCTTCATGACAAGTCCTGTCTCCCTCACAGCAAATGTCTTTATTTTGGACAATGCTTATATTGTCAGAATATAAGCCAGACTCTTAAGTGTAGGCTGGTGATTCATGAGGCGTCAGAATGCCTGAAAGGGCTGAAACTTTGCAGCTCCACTTGACACATCCATGGAAAGACTTCAGTTATTTTTTTTAAGCCATTCGTAATAAGAATGTGTGTCAAAGCCGTCTTTGGCATTTTGCTTTGCAGATATTTATTGGATTTGCCTTGACTACAGAAAAACAAAAGCATACACTCTGCCTCTCCCAGAGGTACCCAGAACAAAAATAACTGGCTTAAAACAATGAGCAAATTCCTGGAATTGTTTTAGTTAGCCCTTTTGATTTTCTAACAATATGCTCTATTGTTTACTTGTAGATTGAGGCAGAAGTGCAGAGAAGAAAACAGTTAATTCATCAGTCTGTGGAACGCAAAGCCATCATCTCAAAGTGCTACAAACGAAAACACCCAGAAGTGTACATTCTGCAGGTAGGCAGTATGTTTGGAATCTGTTTTGCACCCAAGGAGTTGCCTGATGGTTTATTTTTGCAGTAGGAAGCCCTCTTCTTGGGATTGCCCACAGTGCTAGAGCTGCACTGGTTTAAAACCGAAGTGTAGCATATTAAAACGGAATTAAAAACTGCCACAGCATAGCATATTCTCCAGGCAAGATTCTGCCTGGCTTATAGGCAGCTAAGGGTCATTCTGTGTTGAAGCTGCGCCCAGCACCTGGTACTGGACTCAGAATTCCATTAGTAATTTAGACCTAATGCGCCACTGCAGCAAAGAGGGTCGGTGAAGCCTAACAAACAGCCACAGAAATCAGCCTTTACGGGCTTAACACACAGACAAGTTACTAGAGACTATCATCTGAAGGGAGGCAGCAGGCTGCTAGCCTGTATATACCCCACCACAAATGCAGGGTAGCACTCTTTGTTGCGGGCTACTCTGCTTTGAATTTCCTCATGTTTGCCAGACCCGAGACTTCCCAGATGGATAATTACCACAGATCAGCAGTAACACACAAAAAAGTTCGCACAGATTTACTGCTTTATGATTCTTTAGTAACAAGGTCTGCCGTTGTCTGTTCTGCCATTGTCTGTCATGATCTGTGTGGGGAAGTGCTTAAAGCAGAGCATAGTCACTCTGTTATGCCGAGGCCATGACAAGATGTTAAATGTACTAGGAAAGACTTTGCACTTACCTGTTAGGAGCCCATAATGCGAGCCAGGCTCTTTCCCATCATGCTAAGGATAAATCTGGCCAGTTATACTTAGAAACCAACGAACTAGAGCAAGTAGCAACTTACCTAAACCACCAAGAAAGACACCAGTAACATTCTGCATTTCCTGCCATGGAAGTAACCCAAGTGTGTTGATCAGCCTTGCTCCCTAGACTCTACATATTTTCCTGTGGCTGCCTGGAAGTCCCTTTCCAACTTGGGCTGTAAAAGACTGCACAGGCTAATTGTGTTTCTGTGTATTTTTATCATCCTTCCCTTGACACCAGGATTCATTCCTGGCCCCAGATTTTCTGGAAATTGTGAGATACTGCACATCACCAGATGCTCATCTCCATGGCCTCCTGCGCTACATCAAGTCCTTCTCAGGTAAAGAAAACAATACATCAGCCACAAAGATTCCCTGTGTGACACTGCAGCTTCAGTGATGACAGCTGTTTTCAAGCCCTGTCTTTAATAGCTCAGATTTGATACACAGCTGAGACAAACAGGATGTTATTTTCTGCTTGATGAGAGTCTCTGGAGAGGCAGTATTGTGCAGCAGTTATGCTCTGGATGAGATCCTGTTTTCTGCTTTTTTAATCCATCTGCTGATGTCTCATCAGAGGCTCTAGCTGCAGCAGGACTGGGGTTTTAGTTGTACCACAACCTCACGGGGGAGCCTGCTGAAGGAACACTGTTAGCCTGGAGAGCTTGTTTTTTCCTTCCCCAGGTGCTTCACTATTTCAGACAATCCCTGTTGGTTAGTCTGAGCTGAAATAGTTTCAGTCTAGATTTCAGTCTTTTAAAAAGAGGTCTGAGTTTTCAGCTTCCCTGGTGGCATCCGTGAAATTCTCTCCCTACCGGAAATGCTGACAAAATGTAGAGGGGAAACTGCAAAGTTGCCTCCTTTTCTCAAGACAAAAAGAAAGACACAAATGTTCTATATGAGCAGGGCTCCTGGATTTGTCAAAGGCACGATTTCCAGACACACAGCCTTTTCATGCTGTCTCTATCTCAGCTCCTATATCCTCAATACTGAGCTCCCCTTACACAGACCCTTACGGCTCTACCCTGAAAGGCAGCTCAGAAGGCCTGGTTTTCCCATAGGGTTGGCACTGGATGAGTGAATCCCACATCCCCTAAATGACCTTGAGTCTCCTTCTTCCAGGAGGCTGTATTCAGACTGCCTGTGATGAGCCATTGATTAACCACCCTCCCTCTAGACTTTCTCAAAACATTTCCTTGGCACATTCAGCAGACATTTAAATAATCATTGCCAGATCTCCTGACTGGATGAGGAAGCCTGGAAACGAGGGGCTAACATGAAAAACAACAAACACATCCCAGAGCTGATCCTGGGGAATGGTTCCAGCCCTCTGAGCAGCCTGAGCACAAAGTGAAGTGCGTGCGTGGGTCCTGCGTTCTTACTGACACCAGCACAGATAGCACGACAGCCAAGACGACTCTTGCCTGTTATTTTCCCCAGCAAACTGTGTCTCCCTTCTCTTGACAGATAAGAGGATCTATCGACTCCCAGTGTTCACAGAGGAGTTCTGCCAAGCCTTTGTTGATGAGCTGGAGAACTTTGAGCAGTCGGACATGCCTAAAGGCAGGCCCAACACTATGAATAATTATGGGGTAGGACCTGCTAGCTCTTGTGTTTCTTTAGGGGGAATACTCACAAGCAGAGTCTGTTTACCTCCTCACTTCACACTTCTTTCCTTTCCAAAATGCCTGTAATTTGAGCACAGCACAGTTTGAGTACAGCCCCCTTGAAGCGAAAGGGTTGAGGGAGTGTGTGTTACACAGAGAAAAGGACAGGGGAATGCAAGGAAGGGGAAGGGGAGTTGTCAGAGCAAAGAGCACCTTGTATTTAAGCAATACACATTTAAATCAAGGAGTCAATTTTTAAAGAACACTCAACTTTTGATCTTACTCTGTTTTTTCCCCATCACTTTCCACCTTGATCCTCCTTCCTTTGCCTGTAGCTGGAATATTTGCTTTTCAGTTCTTTATCTCAGCAAGCAGCAGGGTTGGAAAAGAACAAGACAGCTCTGCAGTAGCTCTGATGAAGCAGCAAATGTAGTTGCTCAGCTGTTCCCATCTCCTTTCTTTGACACAGGTTTTGCTAAATGAGCTTGGGATGGATGAAACATTCATCACAACCCTGCGTGAAAAATACCTGCAGCCCATAACGGCACTGCTTTATCCCGACTTGGGGGGTGCTTGTCTGGACAGCCATAAAGCATTTGTTGTCAAGTACTCGCTACGTGAAGATCTGGATTTGAGCTCTCACTATGACAATGCCGAAGTCACCCTAAATGTTTCGCTGGGAAAAGACTTCACAGAAGGCAACCTGTACTTCGGGGATTTCAACCAGGTACTGGGCATATTCCTAACCTGGACCCCGATTCTCTTCCCCACTACCCTCCCATCCCCCAATTTAAAGGCATTAACTGTGTTCTGAAAAACGGTTATCACTTCTGACAGTCAAACATGCCCTGTCCCTTCCCCCTTTTTTAAGATGTCTTGGTTATACAGAAGCCTTTTCTGCTACAAGCACATTACCAATATTCAAGCGAATTGCAGGCAATTCAAAGAGAGGACAGAGACAGCTTTCGTGGTGAAGCTGGAGTGAAACAAACCAGCCCGTATTTCCCCAACCGCAGTAATGAGCAGGGAGGTGCTGTGAGAGAGAAGTACTTTATTTCAGACGAGACTTAAACCCAAATCTGTAGCCTCTCTTTCCTGGCAAGAGAGGTGTAAAAGCACCCTTACGCTAGTGAAGTGGGTTTTTTGATTGAAACTCTGTCTTTAAATTCCCTCTGGACCTGGCACTGAGAACATCTTCCTTGAAAACAGTTGTACTAAGCTGTTGCCAAGCCACTGCAGAAGTGGCTGCATTTCAGAGGTGCAGCGAGTCCTCTCCGTGTTGCTCACTGGGTGCTGTGGATGAAGAGGTGACAAGTAAAAGTTTCAACTATTAGAGCATTGTTCTGCTAGGGGCTTTCTGGTGTAATGTCGTATCCACCTCCCTTTATTCCAGGATCCTACCCCTGTGCCAAAGTACATAGAGGTTGAACACGTAGGAGCCCAGGGGCTGTTACACCGAGGCGGGCAGATCCACGGGGCACTTCCCATTGCCTCCGGGGAGCGCTGGAACCTCATTATTTGGATGCGATCATCTGCCATCCGCAACCAGCTCTGCCCCATGTGCAACAAGAAACCCGAGCTGGTGGAAGCAGAGGGCTTTGGAGATGGCTTCACAGAAACCCTTGAAGATGATGCGCCTGAGACTGTGAATCTCTGTTCCTTGTGGTAGCAGACAGTAGGGCCTGATTTCTCCAGACCAAGTTGCCTAAAGCTCCTTTCTGATCTCTCAGACTTCACTAACAGACTCTTTGATGGATGCAAGAGTTATGTGAGAAATAGCTATCACCTCGGAAAGTGATCCTGCTGGGCTTAGGGAACGCAGCTGCTTGGGCAGCTGAAAGAGCTGGTACCGGGGCTTGCCTGGAGGCTTGCTCCAGCTCAGGATGGAGAGCTGCTTGGAAGATGTAGAAAGCCCTAACACTGATTCACTGCAAAGGCTCTGTAAATATTTTGGGGGTGGGGGGGAACACCCAAAGCTGCTTGGCCTTTGTGAAGGCTTCTGTGCTGGCAGCAGCATTGCGAGTCCTGCTGTAAACAGAAAAGAACGATACAATAAAGCCCTGCACTTGCCACTTCTCTGCTGTTTGCAGGGATGACTGTCCTCTTCCAGGGGAAGAGCTTTTTCTTGCTATGTGACAGTGAAGGATCTGCTTAACAGTGAGATACAGGTGATTCACCGCAGACTGCTGGGAATAGCATGGAATTATCGTCACTGTTTACCTAACCCAGGCTCAGAAAAATCCATCAGGAATGATACAGAGAGAGCTGATCCCACAGGGTGGCTAAGAGGATCTCTAAAGGCCTCCACAAGCTCTTCTGAGCAGAAATTTCCCTTTCAAAGATAGCATGAATGTTATTAAACAAGCAGAAACCGGCTTTAGAGACAAAGCTGCGGGAGCTACTTGCAACATAGGAAAACTTCCCAGAGGAAGGCAAGAGCATACATTTAACTCCCTTCCTTGAGCTAGGTGAACAAGTGAAAATATAATATAACCGTCTCAACCTGGGTGCCTCAGGCACCTGGGACTTCTTAGTTTGGCACCAAGATCCCCCCTGACAGCCGATGCATTGGGAGGGTCAAGTGCTTTCCCTGCCATACTGCCAGCTGGCTGAAATCACGGACTTTCCCATCTACAAAACAAATTAAAGCAGCCAAATATGTTTTGATTTGGTGGCTGCGTTTGCCTCTGTGGAAAGTTAATTGTATCTGTTGGATACACACATACACCAGTGCGTTTATAAGGGGCTTTTTCATTCATTTATTCAACTGCAATAATTACAGCGTGTGGACTTTGCATCATCGATAATTGTGAAAGGCTGGATGTGAGCTGGTGCAGCTTGCACAAAGGGTGCCGATTTAAGCTTTCCCGGCAGATCCGCTGTATTTTTGGCCATGAATGCCATTAGCACGCAGCGCTGATTAGCTTTTCATTAGCAAAACCCATTAAAATTGCATCTTGGGAAGGAAACCAGCTGCTGTATTTGTGCGTGGAGCCAAAGGGCTGGTATCAAGAAAACCAGCGTTAAACGTTAGCGCTTCCTGTCTGCGTCTGAATTGAGCCCCAAAAATTAAGCTAAAGGGCGATACCAGCGCGGGCCCTGCGGGCCCCCGGAACCAAAGGGCGCGGCCGTGCTGCCGGCCGGCCCCGCGCACGGCGGCCGGA